AATAAAAATAAAACCAAAACACCCCCAATCTTTAGTACCAGTTTGTGTTACGAACCGGTACTAAAGGTCTCCCCGCCCACGGCCCTAACACGTGCCACGTGGTGGCCCTTTAGTGACGGTTCGTGCAGAACCGGTACTAAAGGCCCTTACAAACCGGTGATACTGCCCTGTTCGGCATTAGTGAATCTAGGTTCTTACAATTAAATTCATGTGTGTTCAACAAGATTCTAGTGAAATATGCATATTTGTCTCGAGATACCCTTGATTGCACAATCTGAGGCACTAGTTTTAAATGGCAAAACAATCGAACATTTCGGCGCATGTCGATGCTTTTGTTGTCCAAACCAGCTCCTTGGCGTCATTGCGCATTTGCTCCTCAGGGTGGGATTGGTACGCATATGAGGCCGGATATTCTTGTGAGGGGATTTAAGAACATAATCTCCTAAGAATATAACAAATGTGGATAAAGATCACAAGACAAGGAGTGCCAAATTGTTCAAAAAAAGAATCAACTTTGTGCACCATTTAATTGGAACACGGGGAGGTTTTCTCACGAAAAAAGTTATACAAATTTCCATGCAATTGCCAGGATTAGGTATTAGGCAAATGGAAATGCAACATGTAGTGAAAAATTATCAAAAGAATGGAAAACATTTGTTGGCCTTAGAATTTCCTTCTGTTTTTGAGGGGTCCCTAGAATGTCCTTGGTCGTCCCAGACTGGGCCTCAGCGGTAGGTCACCATACGTCCTCTCCCTATTCCTGGTGCTAAAGCTGACGCCGTGGCAGGAACCGGAACCAAGAGCGCACACTTTGCCAAATTTGGGTCCTCGCCTCCCTAGGACAAAATAAGCTTTAGCATTCCCGTCCACAGATCCTTGTGCGCATGGCTGTTCAAGTACAAAATAAGCTTTAGCATTCCCGTCCACAGATCCTTGTGCGCATGGCTGTTCAAGTATATATCCCAACGAATCGTCCAACCGGACCCCGCAGATCGGTACGAGGGTGTCCTCGGCCACTCTCGCGTCGATCTGCTATGGGGTTGTTGTCGTCCGCCGTGAGGAAATGTAACAGCAAGATGCTCCTCGGCGGCGGCTCTTCATCTTCGTGTGGTGTGCGCGGCAAGGAACAACCATTGACGCCCAGCAAGCACAAGCGGTCGAGGAAGAAGCGCTTCTGGAGGAAGAAGAAGTCCAGCAAGAAGTTCGGTTGCGTCCCCTGCGTCAGCCTCACCGAGCTCACCAGGCGCGCCGAGTGCGAGGCCATCGCCGACCTCGTCAACAACATCTCGGCCAAGTCAGGTAACCAAAATGACACTAGGATTTTACACTAGGCTGCCGATTGGTTTGATGCCGATATTTGACGTACTGCAACATGCGCGTGCGTGCTGCAGACGTTACCAGCCACATGTACGCGGCCGAGGAGATCCTGCGGATCACCAACCATAACATCCCCAGTAGAGTGCTCACCTTCCGTGAGTTGTCCGCGGCGACCAACAACTTCAGCTGCGATAACCTTGTGGGCGAGGGCGGCTTCGGGATGGTGTACAAGGGGCACTTCAAGGACACCAAGGAGGTGACTACTGCAACAAGCCGATCAATAGTCTGCAGCAGATTGTATCATCATTTTCCCTTCTCATGTAACTTGGATGAGTATTATCTTTGTCACGTAGGATATCGCCGTGAAGCGGCTCGACAAGGAAGGGTTCCAGGGGAACCGCGAGTTCCTGGTGGAGGTGCTGATGCTGAGCCTCCTGAGCCACCCCAACCTCGTGAATCTGATCGGCTACAGCACCGACCTCGACCAGCGGATCCTCGTCTACGAGTACATGCCCAACGGCTCGCTGGAGGATCATCTCCTAGGTAAGCTGTTGCATGCGTTCGAGGTCGATTCCTTCCTTGTCGTCGGCTTGGCTGATCGATCGAGTCGATCAATGGCGCAGATCTCCCGGAGAACGCCAAGGCTCTCCCCTGGCAGACGCGGATGAGGATCGCGGTGGGCGCGGCCAAGGGCATCGAGTACCTGCACGAGGTGGCCAACCCGCCGGTCATCTACCGGGACCTCAAGGCCTCCAACATCCTCCTGGACAAGGACTTCAACTCCAAGCTCTCCGACTTCGGGCTCGCCAAGCTCGGCCCCCTCGGCGACGAGAGCCACGTCAGCACCAGGGTGATGGGCACCTACGGCTACTGCGCCCCCGAGTACGCCATGACCGGCAAGCTCACCAAGATGTCCGACATCTACAGCTTCGGCGTCGTGCTGCTCGAGCTCATCACCGGCAGGCGGGCCATCGACCCCACCAAGCCCACGGAGGAGCAGGTTCTCATCCACTGGGTAAGCAACTAAGCATATACTCACTCCAATCGAACGTTTAATCCAATGCAAATATTACTAATTACAAGCTCGAGACCACCTCTGTATTCAGGCGGCGCCTCTGATCAGGGACAGGAAAATGTTCGTGAGGCTGGCGGATCCGTTGCTGGGGAAGGACTTCCCGGTGAAGGGGCTGTACCAGGCGCTCGCCATCGCCTCCATGTGCATGCAGGAGGATCCCAGCAAGAGGCCCAAGATCGGCGACGTCGTGGACGCGCTCACCTTCCTCGCTGAACAGAAGTACTATCCTCAACGAGACCGGGAAGCTGCTCAGGCGAAGGGCGGGGACTGCAGCACTCCTCGCAAAAAGGACATGGTTTCTGAGATCAAAGCCGATGATGACATGAAGCAGCGATGAGCCAGACGACCATAGAATATAATATAATATAAGAGATGCATAAAGGAGGAGATGCAGCAGAACTATATCTCTGCCCCCCTCACATTTCTTGTGTACCGTACACCACATAGGCAGGATGTAAGAGCAGCAACGAATCATCTTGACTGATGATGCTGATTTGTTAGTCAAGGCCTCAAATTCCAGCAGCAAAAGCCAAGAGCTGAGCCGTCTATTCCTGAGCTGTTCCAAGGACTGCCACCTTCATTATTAGCTTCTAGATCAACATGCAAACATTACCATTTTCCATCATTCTGGTCTGCATGTAATCTAAAATATATCCCGCCAAGGATTTGTGGAATTGATAACTCTAGTAGAACGTACTCAAAAACAAAAGGTGATCGAAGTTGCAAATAATTATTGGGTGCGATGAACCGTGATTGAATAATGAAAAGACTTCCAATTCTAGTCTCTCGCCGAATAATATAGAGAGCATTGGTCTCAAGAGAGTCAAGCTTCAAAAACTTTGACCAAGTTTACGGAGAGAAATTATCCGACCCACAATACACATTATATATCATACCATATATTTCATTGTGAATCTAATAACAGTATTTGATTCGTTGATTTTGCAATCTAGATATTGATAATTTTCTCTAAAATCTCTGTCAAAGTTTACATATGTCGACTTAAAAAATGTGATACACACTATTTTGGGACGGAATAATAAGTAATGTTCATTTTTGTTGGGTGGGGATAATGTATTGTTAATATTGTCTTTTCTTTCCTATTTGAAAGCAACTGAAATTTACATACTCCCTCACTTCCAAAATAACTACAACACTTATTTTGAAACGGAGAAAGTATTTCATAAGAGCGAGAATTTAGCATAACTCTGAAGACCATCGCTAGCTCATGACAGACGGCTCATCACTATGACGTTTGCCGCATGCATCTGACCGCGCCTCCGCTAGCTACCATCACCATCAAGATCACATCAATCGCATAGGAACTCGTGGTGCCCACTTCCATTAGTTATTTTACAAGTTTGTGAAGTTTTGAAAAAAGTCATTCATATATATATGGACACAACACATATATATACTACGTTGCAAGATTTTTAAATCCAATCTCAAGCACAACTTTATAAATATACAAGATAAACCTTTTTCTAGATACATACAGTAGCTAGTCAAATTTGGCCATGAATTCGGTCAATTTCTGCAGCTAGTATTGAATTTGTTATTTCTAATTTCTCTTGCTACATTTCAAGTTTGGATTTTTAATTTTGTAATGTTGCAACATGTTAAGTATTTAAACTGATTTTTTTTCAAAAGAAAAAAACATCGGAGCATCTCCCGTAATAGTCCTCACAACCCCCATGAACAATATTCTGTGAAATAACCCTTCAAAAAGCTATTTGAGGGCTCCTCTACTTCGACAATCCACAAAATATGCCCTCATTTGCAGTAATATCTATATTCTTTTACAACACAATGACACGTAGGATCACCAATAGTTTTCCTTTCTTTCTTTCTTCATTTTTCTCTATCTAGTCCGCTAGTGCTTGCGACAAGGCCTCGCCTCTACCTTCTTGTCGCTTCCCAGTGGAGCCCATGATAGAAAAAACTCGGGATGGACAAAAGAGGTCACGAAAGACCTCTGGACGGGTGGAGGGGAGCAAGGAAGGGTGATGGAGGGAAGGAGGATGGGAAAGCGAGGTTGACAGCGAAACGATATATGATGCAACGGGGCCCCAGTGCGAAGCCACTACATGAGAGGTGGATGCATGTAAAATGATCTAGATGGACCTAGAGGGGTGGATAAGTCACTACAAAATCTAACCTTTTTCTTACCAAATTCGGTCTTTGCATAATATAATGGTGTGATAGCCTACATGAAGCTTGCAAGGTTAATGGTTCAAAGTAATGCACTAAGTGAACGAGCTCTGGTAAGAGAAAACCAAAGACATGGAAATACAAAGATGTATCTAGATATTCACTTCCTTGGAGGAGACCTAGTCATCGTTGGAGAGGCGGGAAACCAAACAAAGGCTTTCTACACCAATGGCTCACATTATTCTCCTTGAGATATAACCACAAAGACAATTCTCAATCACTCATGGTAGAACTTGGGGCGGCCTCCAAATCTTTACAAACGATGGGCTAAATCACAGCTTGAATCCTCGTCGATGCCTCCTACCGCCTAGGATTCTCCAATCTCCAAGAGTAACAAGATTGAAGGAGGAAAGCTTGATACTTGCTCAAATCAAGAAATCGGTTGGTCGAGAGAGAGATGGAGGTTGAATCTTGGCTAGGGTGCTCCTCTCTCAAATACCTTAAACTCAAGGAATCAAACATTTTAGGGTGGGAGAGTGTCAGGAGGGTTCTTCTCAAATCTAGAATGTTTTGGAATGGAGTGGTCAACCTACCTCCCAAAGGGTAGGTGACTTATGTAGTATGTGAAGAATTAGCATGTTTAAACAGAATTACATGAATGGACAATCTGGCTTGGAAGTGCTCGAAGAATCCAGCTGCAATGTCTAGCCAGAAGCGGCAGTCGATCCAGTAGGCAGCCACACAGACAAACATCAAGGGCATACAAATTATGCACCACGACTTCATGAGGCTAAGCGCACCTGAATAGTCCAGCACTTGTCATGTCGGGAATACCCCAAGGCCCATTGCAACCGAACAGTCTTATGCTTGTTCGACTATTGAATCACCCCCGAGTGAGGGCAAAGATACAAACCCATGTTGTCTAACCAGAATTGGCATGCAAAGTCGGCCCGACTGAAATTTACCACTTGACTACCTTTGACCTAGGGTTTCTTGTGGCTGTCTATCTTTGGACTATTCGGCGGATATGTGAGAATTCAAGCGATGGTTGACTTGAGAAAATACTCTGCTACATTTGATCCCCTTCAATAGTGTGGGATCCCCATAACACAAGAATGAAAAGAAAAGCTACACTTTACTCTTCTTAAAAGCACTTGTCTTGGGTCTTTTTTATTTTGGAGGACGGCGATCATCGACACCACTTGCATAAGAGACTAAAATCTGTCTATTCACTCGATTAATGTATCAATCCCTACAATTTAATGTCATCAATACCAAAACAAACATTAAAGACCTAGATGCACTTTGGAAAATAATGATTGTATGTGAATATTTGTAGGGCTCAAGTAGTGGCCTTGAACTGGCAGTGCCAATGTTGAGGCCCTAGAGTTCTCTGGTGCTGCAGCCGGCGAAGGGTCATGGTGCGAGCTCGCCAGTGGTGGTCGCTACGAGCGTGGCAACGATGGCTTTTTTTGCTTGAAACGTGACCACGACGAGCTACAACAGTGGTCATGGCGAGCTATAACCGCACGCCTCAAATGCTGCAACGACGAACACAACGAGTTGGAACCGGGACCACAGGGGAGTCGTCGGGATGCCGTAGGGTGAGTCGGTCGATGTTGCGAAAAATGCATGCGGGGAAGACTTGCTAGAAATGGCGGGTGACGACGGCTACATCAACGGACGTCAGGTGATGCAACGGCTTGGTGCGCAAACTATGAACAATGTTCGCGAGCTGCAAGCGATGGTGGCAGGCGAGAGGGTTCTACGACGCTGGTGCTGCCGAGGCCGTCAACACCGATGAACGTGGCCGTCGTGCCTCGCAAGGGATGCACCTTGGAGGAGAAGCATGCAGTCAGTGGTGGCGACTAGCCGACATGAGAGGATTTTTTTCTGTACGTGTTGGTGAGCAAGAAGATGAATCGAGGGAGAATCCGACGGCTACGGTAACCCAGATCAAACGGCTTGTCACGGCCCCGTTCTGGATCCTGGCCGGTCGGCCGGCGCCTATACTGCGAGAAAAGGGGAAATTTGCTACCAGGGGCTGACATATCGGGGCCACTTACAAGCGAACTGAAAGAAAGCTTTCTCGTTCTCAGTCAGAGTGTCGATCGTTCCCACTCGTAAACCCTAAACCCAGCCGCCGCCATGGCCGCCGCCGTCCGCCTCTTCCTGCGCCGCCGCCTCGCCACGGCCACCGCCACGCCTCCGACCCCGGCCTCCATCCTCAACCCTTCCTCCCCGACCACCCCGCTCACCTCGCGGCAGAAGACCCGCCTCGCCATCTCCCTCCTCAAGTCCTCCCCGCCGCCGCCCCCCGACCAGATCCTCTCCATCTGCCGCGCCGCCGCACTCTCCCCGAAGACCCACCTCGACCGTGTTGCTCTCTCCCTCGCCACCTCGAGGCTCTCCACCGCCCCGGACTCCCTCCGAGACCTCACGTCCTCTCTTCTCATCCCCCACCACGCCCACCACGCCATCGTGCTCTTTGGCCAGGCCGGCCTCCTCCCCGACGCCATCTCCACCTTCCAGTCATCCCCCTCCACCCGCTCCCTCAACGCCCTCCTCTTCGCCTGCATCGTCGCCGGCAACCACACCGAGGCCGCTCGCATCTTCCAGACCTTCCCGGACGCCCACCGCGTCAAGCCCAACGCCGAGACATTCAACTCCATTATAAAATCCTTCTCCGAGTCCGGCACCACAAGGTCCTTCTACTCGGTGTTCGATGAAATGTGCAAGCAGGGCGTGAAGCCCACTGCCACCACATTTACTGCCGCGATTGCTGGGTTTTACAAGGAGGAGCGCTTTGATGATGTAGAGAAGGTGATTAAGCTCATGAAGAAGCACGGTTGTGGCGAGTCACTGCAAGTGTACAATGCAAGGGTCCAGGGGCTGTGCAAGCTTGGCCGGAATGGTGATGCCAAGGCATTACTGAGTGAGATGGCCAAGAAAGGGACGAAGCCAAACTGGGTTACTTATAACCATTTGATTTATGGATTCTGTAAGGAAGGGGATTTGGAGGAAGCGAAGCGGCTGTACAAGGAGATGGGAAAGAAGGGGCTTGTTGGGGATAGTGGCTTCTATTTTACTGTCATTTTTCACCTTTGCAAGGCTGGCGATTTTGATACTGCCCTTGGTGTATACAATGAGATAATACCTAGGAACTGGGTACCCTGCTTCTCGACCATGAAGATGCTTGTGAATGGGCTTGCTGGGAGCTCGCGAATCGATGAGGCAAAGGGGATCATTGAGAAGATGAAGGAGAAATTCCCGGACAGGGATGAAGGGTGGAAAGAGGTAGAGGCGGCATTGCCTCAATAGAATCACCACTCACAGGTATTGTTTTCCTACTAAAGTGTTCTTAGAAACAATTACACAGCTGCAATTTGAGAATACTGATGTCTGAGTATGTTGCTTATTAAATTTGCCATTTCACATGTCATAAACCTGCAATATTACAATATGCATTATACAAGCTGTTCTATATCCTGAAGATGTTGCAGTTCAACTTATGGTAAAGTAGTGTCCTTCTGTAGGACCTTAATCTACACCATGAGGCTCTGCAACTGAGATGTTTTTCCGTTTCACTTCAGTATCTGTTCCTCTTGGTTCGAGTCCAGAATGAACTGCATCTTAGAGCTGTTTTTTCTGCGTTCCAGTGTTTCAGTCCTCTATAGGACATAATATGTTACTTTTCAGTAACATAGATTGCTTGCAAAAGGTCATAGTAATATAGGATTTACAAAATTGTTGTCAGTTAGCATATCCATGTCTATAAGAATATATATGACTGGCACAATAGTTGTGTATATTAGCAAGAACCTTGTATTCATTAGTTTGATGTATGTTAGTATAGGATCTGAAAGGAATTGGGGTGCTTCATTTATCCGGACAGCTGATCATGATTTTCAAATTTGTAAGGAAAAGGATGCACTCTATAGTAGATCGGCACTGCTTTTAAGAAATTGGAACTGTTTAAGTAGTACTTGTAATAACTGTGGAAAATTAATTAGATTATAGAGCGTGAGGTAGATTTTATTCCCCTCGGAGGTATTAAATCATACTCCCTCCGTCCCAAAATAAGTATCGCTGGTTTAGTACTCCCTCCGTCCCAAAATAAGTGTCGCTGGTTTAGTAATTTTGGGACGGAGGGAGTACATAACTAATAGGAAGTTAGAGGCACACCAGGCAGACGATTTAGATTTAGAGTTTCATATTTTCTTTCATAACTGGTAGCATAAGAGAATGTTGACAGAAATGTCGAGACTGCAGAGAAACTCCTGACAATATTGAATGCACATCTTGAGCAGTGGGTACTTGACCCGAGTCAAACTACTACTAGTTATTTGAGAACCCACATAGTTTTTCAAGTGGAGATTTGAGGTCATTACTTTGGTGATGATCTCCGCCATTGAATGGAATTGTTTGTACAGTGACCGAGTAGTACAATTTGTAACATTTGTATGTCATCTTGTAATCTTTTTGTGCTAAATTAAACATATCAATGGCGTCATCCCATTTGAACTAGTTTTCTAGTCCAGAAGAATTGTTGTGAACCACTGTCTCACCTTACAAAAGGTCAGTGCATAAAAGTTGCAAGTAATGTATTCCGAATAGGCAAACAGCACAAGAATCGTCTCTTCTGATTCTCTCCTTACTTTTTCTTGAGAATGCCTATTATTATTGCTGATGGCCGGTGGCTTAGAGATTTTTAGCCGGATTAATTAAGTTAGGTTAATTCAGGAGTCTTAACTCAGGGACTTTGAAAATGTTCTAAATAAACCTTAAGAGCAAAGTTGTGAATCTGAGCATGTAAAATTCTGGTTGCAAGCATCTTGATTTTATACTAACATTTATAACAGTACGAGCATATGACCTGACAATTCTACTTCCTTTCAGTAAACATCAAATCTATAAAAGTATGCTTCATTTCAAGCCCCTGTTCCAGTTGAAAAACTTGATCATCATGTATCACTAGCATAAAATTCATTACATTCATTTTATGTGGCTTCGTATAGAGATGGGATATTAATGCACATTGCATAATTTATTTTGCTTTCCAGATGAAGACTGGTCAGTGATTCAAATTGAAGTTTGTCGCTGAACGTCCCTTCTCAAAGTGTTTGTTCTTGCGTGCCGAAAATGTGGTTAGCAGTTGGGAACTGCAATTACATTTGATGGACTGTTCTAAGCACATGGAGCTTTGTTTAAGATGTAATTTTTCTATTAGAATATGCTAGTCCCAGTTGCTGTTATAAAATATCTCCCGTCAAAGAATTGTTGAGGCGGTTGTCAAAACCATGACCTTTGAGGTAAGGCACCTGTTCGATACTTTCTGGATACTCTGTTCTTTAGTATGCTCATGCAAGTTATAGCTTAATTTATTTATAAGGTGTAGGAGATAATAATAACCATACCTTAAGTGGGTATCCCACAATGGATACAGTGTGATCTGCATAGCTTGTCTATACATGGTCCAGAACTCGCACGAAAGTGAAGAGGGCAAGCAGTCTGCATGATTCTGTGATTTCTGCTGATTCATGTCAGTAGGTTACTAATGCAGCAGGGCCACATGCATGTTGTGTAGTACTACTTTCTTGGATTGAAGGCGGAATACCCCTGTATAACTGTGTTTAGCAGGGTGCTTTGCTGCTGTCTCCTGGAAAAGCAAAAGAAAGCTAGAATGTAAACATTGTACACCTCAAAGAATATTCTTACAAACAACTTACATTATTCAGTCTAGGACCTAAATAAGTTTATTACAAGTGTACTAAAATTAGATAAATAGATTTGATACTTAGGTTCTAATCCATGAGATCATGCATTCCTTATCACGAAAATGTTCTTAACGGATAGATGACTTTGAACTCTAGTGAAGAATTGAGGTTTGCTGGTAGTATTTGTCACAGCTTTAGCTCGTTATCCAGAATTTGTGACCGTTTTTTTTTCCTGGATGCTAGCAATGTGCCAGATAGGACTTGTTTTCACCATGGCACCTCTAATTATCTTTGACTGGTAGCTCAATTTTTTCCTCTAAAAGTTTTAGGTTGTTGACGGGGTATGGACGAACCGATTTTAGAGTTGCAAGGATCAACTAGTCAACCAAACCCTGTGACATTGTGCGACATACTATTTTATTTTTGCATCCTAATTGCTTATCTTATCAGATTGTCTCTTAAAGTTTTCCATGCCTCATTTCTTTTCATTTGTCATTTTCGGAACCATACATCTAAGTAGGCAGCGCCCTCACTGGATGCGTCTAAGTAGGTAGCGCCCTCGCTGGATATAATGAGATCTACATAACTTGTCTCCGTACATGGTCCAGAATTTGACAGAAAACCTCACACGAAAGTGAAGAGGGTGATCAGACATCAGCATCCAAGAATCCTTATGATGCCTTCCAAGCTAAAAGCAACAATTACTGTCAGTGCACAGACTGTTTCAGAAAATACAACAAATAGCCGAAAATACTTAGGTTACCTAGCCAGAAATCTAAAACCATTTGCCTGCGTGGACAGAAATTCACAGGTGTTCAGTTGCAAATAAATGTCATTCCTATCTCTTCATTCCAGTTGACGTGATTTCATTAAGAGCATGGTTAATAATATAGCCAGCTGTTGGCTATAAGCCAGTGCCATAACTAACATATACAATAGTAGATCAAAAGAGTGTACTATTTTTTTATTATGTGGCCCATTTTTCGTTCTCACAAAGTACCTAGGAGCAGCACGTGCTAGAGCTGGCTCTTCACGAAAAACTCTCTCCTCTTCTCTTTCCTCCAACTAAGTAGAAATATACTAATTTATTTCTTATAGTTCGCTGACTCAGCTCTATTGTATTTGTTCTAACTCGTGCACTTTTCTGACCTCACCATAAATTCTTTCCCAAAAAGGAATCATAATCTGGTTAATGCAGTTGCATTAACTCATGCACTTTTCCCGACCTCTCTTTGCCAAAAAGGAATTATACTCTTAGGCTGGTTGTAATGGTAGTATCATAGATAGTATCATGCATATCGACTAGTCAATTTGGAGGTGTCGTAGCATTAAATGAAGAAAGAAATGTTTGAGTATTATATCATGATACCCTATCATAAATAAATGATATGCTACTTTGTGTCATGCATGTCAATAAATAGAGTACTACATAATACTAATATATAATACTATACATTAGGGAGATAGTATCATACAATAATATCATATACATGATACTAATATATGATACTCCCCATTACAACCAGTCTGATTAACGCAGTTCGGAAATCTCCTTGTTTTCAATCTTCTCTGTTGGAGGATCCCTCTGACTCAAAGGAACTTCATAGAAATCTTGGAGAATTTGTATCCTTGGGAATTCTTCCTACACAGGCTGTTTGATTCGTAGGATTGCAATTGTTGGGGGTTTTGCACCCTGTTTTGAAAGAAAATTTCCATCCACTCAAACCTCTTTGTACATTTTCTTTGTTTTTTCCCGGCATGAAAGCACTCATTGCTCCAAGTTCCTGTGGTTTAGTTGTAGGGGTCAGCATGACATGCCACTCCAAAGCCTATGCTTTTTCTGTTCCTACATTTTGATAATCGTGGGAATAAAAGAGGCCATCGACCAGCATTTTGAGAAATTTACAACGTCACGGTGGTTGCTTGTGTCCAGAGCGGCAAAGCCGAGGCTGCTTGGTTGTGTCGACTTATCATTCCTCTACTAGTCTCTCCGTTTCAAAATATTTGTCTTTCTATTTCAAATGGTCACCACATACGAATATATATAGACATATTTTAGAGTATAGATTTACTCATTTTGCTCCGTATAGTCACCATTTGAAACCTCTAAAAAAACAGATATTTAGGAACGGAGGGAGTAGAAGAAAAGCCGCGTTGCTGCGGCCGGGAATAAATAACTTAAACAAGCATGCCGCGGTAACTCTGTAAAGATTGTCAATTCATACTGAACATTGGGATATTATTTTTTCTTTGTTGATTTCTTGACTTGGACTGCTGGATGACACCAGCTTCTCTTTCTTTTTAGACCGAATGCATCAATTAATATGGCAATGTCCAACAAAAGCAACCTAATGACATGCACATTTCAAAATGCAAACTTTCTTGTTAGTAAAAGCACATGTATCTGCATCACTCATATCATACAACATCACTAAAGCAGGTAGTAGAAAATAGTCGGCTACTGCCATCATCATTTGTTGTTAGGTTAGCCCAAAATGTACTTGCAGCGCTTAAAAATCATTTCATTGCATAATACCTAAATAATCATTTAACTATAGCAGCAAAATAATGAAATCCTCAGGCAAAAAAGATATACATCATTAT